TATTCAATCTTTCTTTGATTAATATTTTATTTAAAAATTATTTTCATATAACTTCTTGTTTATTTTATATACACTTATTAATTGTCTAATCACATATTAATATACTTTCCTAGAAGTTTCTTTTACCTATAAAAGTTTTTTAGTTATGAAACATTCATTGTTTAGATAATACCTTTATATAACACTTATATCAGTAATCCTATTATTCTATATAATCTTAAGTACTTTATTATATATCCATCTTGCAGTTTCCATCTATTTTCTTAGCTTTTTTTTTTCTTCAGATATTGAATAAATTTATATCTTTTATGTTGTCAATCTTTTTTTGTCATTTTTAATTTTCAGCTAATTTAATTTATTATGTCTTGTAATAAAGATAGTAATTATTAATAATAAATTTTTAATAAGCTCATTAGATTCAGTATCATTAACATTGATATCCCAAACTAAATATTATGATCTTTGTATTATATTTACTTAAAAGATGGTTTTTGTAAGTAACCACAACCTCATTAATATCTCTTTGATATAATTGTTTCAAAATGGATATAAAATCTTTGCATTTTCAATTAAGACTTGATCCAATATTCTTAATGAATTCATGATTTAAATATTTTTATCTGAAATATTTATATTATTTATCAAGATCTTTTTTTTGCTTTTTTGAACTGACTTATATATAACAGATTTTTTTCTTTTCATTTATTTTTTCTTGGTTTTCAAATATCTTTTTTATATTTACTATAGAATACAACTTGTTACTATCAGATATTCTAATACTTGATATTTTTTTGATTGTTTTACTTTCTTAATATTTTAGATGAAATTTCATATATTTTTCAAATTTCTTATACTTCTCAATATTTTATTGTTAATATTATCTTGTTCAAATATGCAAAGCAAACTTATTTATATGGATAATTATTTTTGAAATAATGAAAATAATATATGTGTTTTTTTCTGTACTTATTTTAAACAATACATATATAATGTACTGTAATTTAAGAAATACAATTATAATGTTTGAAAAATTCCTGTTCATATTCAAAAATAATTACTTATATTTGAATTCAAATTCAAGAATATTTGAATTATTTAAGTTAATTCAACTCAAATTGCATAATACCCCCTTGTCATAGATACTTGAATAATTATTTTTAAAGGTAAATAAGGATTTTCTATAATTGTGATTTTAAAATTTACACTATATACAGTATATATTGTTAAAGATAGATGTTGAAAAATCAAACTTTCTGTTCACCTTTGAAAATAATTAAACATATTTAACAAAAGAATATTGAATTATCAACAATGATGTAATAATGACAATTCAATATTCTTTGTCATTGATAATCAAAATAATATAAGATACTTACTATAATTAAAAAATAACAATCAGTAAAATAAATAGCAAATAGAGATTTAATTATTAATATTGCATTGTTTACGAACCGTGGTACCAGGGTTTAAACTTATTCATTTGCCGGCCATCCACAAAGTATCTAAATAATAAATTTGACTATTTTTTACGCCGTCGATGCATTTTATTCTAAATTTTTTTATTGGTTAATGCATACTATACTCGTGACTGTTAATTCTAGTGTATCAAGAAAGATATTTGCAACAATAGTAATTGGCGCAGTAGATGGCCGGAAAGCATAGTGTGTACGTGGGTACCACATCGAAGGGTGGTAATGCGTGAGATACAATGCATGAAAATTATCTATTAAATTAATATATATGGTAAAGTGACGACTTCCTGTTCGAGCTTAAATAAGAAATTAGATAAGCAGAAGCGTATTTCCTTTGCTTTATGTAATGTTTTCCTTCCTCACGTGGATATTATTACCTAAGGAACAAAACACCAATAAGTGAAATTTCACCCTCCTTGCATACATTGACCATAGCCGAGGCATAAAATTCTTCCTTTTAGAAATATTTAATTTAAACAGGAGATTGTGTCACTGTCCATAATATATATTGATCGAAAGCTTAAAAAAAGGGTTCTGCGTTCATGATCTGGAACGATCTAGCTAATTTTTTAAATTTTCGAGACAAAAACTGTCAACAACTATACATTAATTATTTAAATTAGTGACAAGGTCGGTAATAAATAAATAATTCGTGTGTGTATCCCATCGCCTCCAATCATAGCATGCTGGGACCAGTAAGAGCGTTCATCAAAAAATCCACAAAAAAAAAAAAAGAAAAAGAAAAAAAGAAAATGTATTCTATTAATGTCAATTAGATTCCTTATTTGCATCACTCGTTACTGTTTTTTTATTGACTTTAGAATATATGATACCGATGGAGGACGTCACTACCGGATTGATCTCATCCAATTCCCATTCCGAGGAAGTTCCGGTAGCCGGCTCCGTCCATTCGTTCGCTTGGTCATCCACTCCCCTGGGTCCAAGGAGTTCTTGGAGCCCTTCTTTGAAAACAACCGTGGTATGTCCTCGGTAGATATTATTTCATGAAAATTTGGAAGGCGCGTAAACTCAATTTCCCCACTGTGTTCTTATTCTAGGATTTGTGCCTAAATTCGGTACTTCCTACTGCGATTTGTTATGGACCTGAATGGATTTTGATATATAATCAAGGTTACTTTTTTTTCCAGCGCTATTCTTATATGAAAACGTGCCACAATCTAACCATAAAAAATTGATTACGCTTTTCCTTAGCGTGGGGGACCTTGTTGAATTCAAACCATCCAACAGGTAAAACAAGTTAATTAAAACTGCCTCATTTGATCTCGGCATCGACAACCAACCACTCCATATTAGTGTTAGGTCGTCCAGTGAGTGAAGTTCGGACCGAAACTTATGTTGTTTTAGAGCCTTTGGTGAGAGGGTACGTGTTTATCTTTATTTTTTCTCTGAACATTATGTATTAAAATAATATGAATTGCAAATTATCATTTGTGAACCAGTGTTTTTTCCACCGGCAAGAGTCAACTTGGCACTGACACACCCATACCTGTGCAGCGAGGGGACGATGTCGAAGAATGTTACTTCTCACTTGCCTTAAGCCCTATGTTCAAGGAGGATGGAACCGTTGGCGGTGTGTTTATTGTTGTTCAGGAAACAACTCAACGGATTTTGGCAGCTAGAAGGATGAAAACCTTGAGTAAACTAAAAGATCGAAC